TTGTCCCCCTTCCCAAGGACAACCTCTAGTTTGTTGAGTTCTCGAAGTATCGCAGGCCCGTCTCGATACTTTGGAGCTAAACGTTTCTAAATAGTACCGTTGAAATCTTTTCTGTTCCTGTGGTAAGGGTGATCCTTAGGTAGGAACCTACGGTGTCCCATATAAACTATCTTTGAGTTATTTGGCAGATTTACCGCATCGGTGTCGTCCAAGCACTCGACACATCCAGTATAGCCTTTTGTCTTCTCTCTAGACAATAAACCTCGACCTGACAGGTCGGTAATTGTAGCGATAAGTACTCCCTTGATCGTGACATGTTCCTTTTTGTACTTGTCCCAAACATCCGGCACATCCTTTTCAAACATCTCCACTAGTTCATCGATCACAGCTGGTTCCAGAAACACATCGATGTCATTCCTAGGCTGTCTTGACCCTTGAATTAGTAGTGGCATCTAGATGTACGATCGCTTCATACAGACCCAAGGTGGAAGGTTGTATATACAGAGCGTCACTAGCCAGGTGCTATGATTACTTCTAACCTGGTCGAAAGGATTCATCCCATCTATGCTCAAAGCAAACCAAAGATGCCTTACCTCTCCACCGATGTTCTTATAGAACATAGTATTGACAGTCCTCCAGTCATGTCTATCGGCGGGGTGCCTTATCATTGTATCTTTCTTATGCTCTTCACCATGCCAGCGCAACAGCTTGGCTGACTTTGCACATGCAAACAGCCTATGCAGTCGGGGAGCTATAGAAAAATACCAAACAACCTTTACGGGACCTCCTCTGGTCTTAGTACCCTTATCTGATGGCCCTTCCTTGTACCGTGGAGTTTCACACTTGGGGCACTTGTCCAAGTCTTTGTATTTTTCTACACGGTACAATATGCAATCATTGGAACATGCGTGGATTTTTTCAATCTCGAGGCCGATGGGGCAGATCATTTGCTTGGCCAAGTATGTCTTTTCTGGCAACTCGTTTTTTTCTGGGAGCATTTTCCTTATTATACCTAACAACTGATCGAAGCTTTTATCGTTCAATTCATTTGTCGATTTGAACTCTAACAGCATGATGTCGGCTTCCAGTTTGCTCATTGGACAATTCCTATATAATAGTGTTTTGCCATCTTGTCTCATTTTCTCTAGCTTTCTCAGCTATCTTTCACTAAGACATCTGGTCTCTACATTACGTAGCAGCTGAAAAATGCCATCGTTATCCTCGATGTCGTCAGCTAGCGCGTTCTTAAACACATTATTAACTGTGGCCATAGGTTCCATGTTGACACTAGGTTTCTCATCAGCATCGTGGATGACTACGTTAGGCATGTCCACATCATCATCGTTTTCCCGCAGAACATTCACACCAACCTCGCCATGCATAGTCCATATCGTATAGTTTGGTATGAACCCCCTGTTAATCAAGTGCGATCGTATAGACTCAATTTGACGAAAGTTCCTATGATTCTTGCAATCTTTGCATGGGCAGAAGACATGGTTCCCATTTTCAGCATGGGCTTTGGCATCGGTGATAAACTGGCTGACGCCATGCATGTACCGCTTGTCCGTTCGGGACAGATGCATCCACTCTCGATCCATCTCTGCACAAAAAAATACTGAGACAATAATTACAAAGAATTAATAAGAAATCGAGCTTCATGAACAACAATTGTAGCTCGAAAGTACCATTTTTGGAAAATATTATTGTACACTAATTATTAAAAAATTGAAATTGATAGCTCCGGCCCTGTAAATTGAAAATCATAGTAAAAAACAATTATTGCACAATATTGAAGAACAATTATTCTACTCTACTTCTAAGAACTAATTATAGCATCACATAGTAACAATGATGATCTTGACCACCATGGAATAATCAGCTAGAAATTTAAATGTGTTCATAGACACCAAACTTTTGGATGATGGATTCACCATAATTTGAGCCTTGCACAAATGTCTAATTGAAAAAGTGCTCTCTAGAATAAAGAAATAACTATAATGAGAATTAAGCAATGTAGCCATCAAAACGAAGCTAATTAAGCAACAAAATCAAATGAGTGGATGTTTGCTACTAACCTTAAAGAAAAAGATTAAGCCATTCTTCAAAATCCAAGCACTAGCTTCATGGTGAAGAGCAGCCGCAGCAATGGAGGAAAGGGTCCAAATGCGCGCCTCTATTCTCGGGATAGAAGAGAGGAGGAAGGAGAGGACGGCTGTAGCATTTTTGTGTTGTAGGCTTATCACCGTTGGTTTTTGGCTAGAACCGACAGTGATAGAGCACAATCACTGTCGGCTCTTGGCTTAAACCGACAGTGATAAGTGCCCGTCAAAACACTGCCGGTCCAAGCCACAAATCGACAGTGATGTGGTCCTTGACTGCCGGTTTTAGTCCAGCCCCAATTATTTTTTTATTTTTAAGCTTATAACCGCAATGAAGGTATATCACTGCCGATTCTCACAAATCCGGCAGTAATGATATCGGCAGCGATGTGCAGATCTGACGTAGTGATCGGAGATATATCAAGGCCATGCCATGCAAAGACAAACACGGGAACACAAGAAAAGCAATGCATGACTTTACAGGGGCACCCGCAACAGGCCGTTAGTGGCTATCTACATAGAGGCACCTAGGAGAGAGGGTGGAGGAGAGAGAGGATAGTGTCGCTGTACCCGGCGAGGGCCGATAGCACTGTACCCCGCTCACAGAGTTTCCGACGGTGAGGGCATCCTGGATGCGATGCGATTTGTTTATCGTGAACTAATAATGACCTACGGACCCCACCCTAATTTAAGAAATTTGGTTATAGATAGACTGTTGGACAGGCCTTCTATAGTTTTAACTATATCCTACGTGGACACTATTATAGAGAGCAAATTGTCCTTGTTGTTGCGGGTGCCCTACGATATGCTGCGAATCCAAGGGCAACGACAAGAGAACTAATAACTATATTTCTATATCTATTGGTCACTCACCTACAATCTTTTCGAGAGATCCGGTTACCCCATATACATTAATAATTTTTATTGCGAAGATAATATGCATTAACAATTAATAAGGAAAGGCAAATTTTACAATGCGCTAGAGGCGCCGAGAACAAGATAAGCACAGAAAATAAGACGGAGATACAGCCTGTTCGCTTGGTCGTATTTGACTTATACACTATTAGCTGGTTTGGTGTGATAGAAAAATATTGTTCGTTGGCTGATAAGCCATGGCTTATAAGTCAAATACGACCAAGCGAACAGGCTTACTCACAATAGATTGAAGACTGTGTCTTGCTATCATTATTATCGACCTCTTTGTTTTGTTTGATATAATCATGTTAACTAATGTGTAATTTTTGTTTCTCAAGCGCGAAGCCCCTGATATGTTCCGCATCGAGAAGGACGAAATTTCAAACTACATGAACTACATGAGGATCTCTTGCCGTGCAAATGTTCAGGTCAATCTTGTTTCTGTTATGTCAGCAACCTGTTTGAAATTTTTTTATCCTCGAAGTCAAAGCAAACAATATATACGGTTCGGTACTAGTAAAATTCACTGCATTTCTAATTATTTTACTTCCTTTTTTAAAATGACTTTTATATTTTATATAGTTGTGATGAATGTATGACAAATGTAATATATAGTGAATGAACATACATACTGAACACCATTTCTCAACGGTAGAGCACTACCATTGAATCAGTAAAGTACATTTTACAATCTCTAAGTTGCATGTAAGTTTTATTTTCAATCCTAAGCTATAACACCAGGTAATAAACATCCCTCTAATTGTCAAAACTGAAGAAAGTTGGTCATCTAACTAGTTTTAAAGATGGTTTCTATTGTTTTAAAAAAAACTTGTTTGATCTTTAAAAATTGATGATTAATTTATTTTTTAAGTCAGAAAAATGTGAAACCACTTTCAATTTTAATTATAACGTCCTCTATATGTTGTTGTTCTATTATTTGGATCTTATTTGTTTTAAATGCATAATGAGTATGATTACAAGCAACAAAGCAATAGGAACAGAAATAGACCAAATCCAAATAACGATATATATCATAAACAGGTAGTAAACATTTTTATAAAAAATGTTGGTAGAAGAGATTAATTTTGAATTTTTAGAGATCAAACTATATTTTTATTCATTTTAGAACATAGAAAAACACCTATAAAACGAGCTAAAGGACCATGTTTCGTTTTGATATTGAAATACGCAAGTTAACATATTTCGTAGTTCACGATTGAAAATCAAATTGACACGCAACTTCGAGGTCGAAAAATGTATTTTAACCTACTTAAAAAATATTGGAAGAAAAGTGAAAATATTATAGGATATTGTTGTGGTTCCCTACAGTAGTATACCTTCCCGTACGTGCTCTTTTTAACATGTGCATTTTCTTTAGAAAATGTAAGGGAACTTCCCGCCTTTGTATACATAATGTCTATACTATTGCATAGTTTTAGTGAATTTGTTGGACCAAGGGAACACAGAAGACAAATTATACATGATATAGTCTACTATTAAATTCTGATTCGTGAGAGACGAACAACTCCGACGTAGTGGTCTCTAATTTTCTGCTTGCTAACCAGAAAGACTCTTTTTTTATCGTCATGCTACGCAGAGCCCAAAGCTGCAACCATTATGTTCCCCCTAAAAATAGCTTTTATAAAAGATGCAACCATTTTGACTGCCCTTCCAATTGCTATTAGTTAGGTTGTCCTTTGTTAAAATTATCCCCTACCAGTGATACTAAACGAAAATCTTAATTTTTAAATGAATTTTTAACCTCGAAACCAATTTATAATAGAAGGGCATTTTCTGATTTATCATGTGAGAAGATACATAGAACGGACAATAAATTAACCACTGGTACGTAAGCTTTGAATAAACAAATCTCTCTCATCAGTTAAATTGACTATTGTCTTTCCATTCATATGCACTTATGTTGGTTCAACCGATCTATAGTTTTGTTTACCCCATTTTTCCATCTTTGCTTGGCAAATGTAGGACATGAAGAACAAGGCAGTGGCCCTATTTGTATGTGCAGAAGCACAAGAGGCTCTAGATTTAGCTTCAATGGTCATGGTATGTGGCAGTAACTATGTGTTCTTTGTGTCCCTTAATTATGTATATGTTCCCTGCATTCTTCATCTTTAGCGAGCATTTATCTTTAACTTACCATTTTACCGTGTTACAACAATCCCCAACCCAGGACCTTACGTATATTGAGAGTTTACAACATGGTGCGATTCAGTTATTTGACCAACATAAGGCAAACCAGGTAATTAATTTTTTCTTTCAAGTTCTTGGTGCTTTTAATAAAATAAATGGCACAGCGAACAAGTGGTTGACTGAGCTACAAGCCGGCTTGTTCAGCTTCTTTTTTTAGTCAAAGCAGTGATTTTCTCTCACAACGTTCCAGCATGAACAATGTTTTCCAATATGAACAGTGATAATTTCATACCTGCCGAACATCACGTCGCCAAGGTGATTAGAATGTTAATCTGAATCTGTAATGATCTAAACACTACTACAGGTGATTAGAATGTGCACGCCAATCTTTTGTCACGTCGGCAAGGCTGCATACCTCAAGAGAATCGAGACGGACACTGTTGTCTCGTTTCTCGACGCTCTACGAGGCTTGGGGGTATTTTGTGATACGCTGTTTCAGCAGATAGTGTTTAAGCTCGAAGATGGTCCTCTGAAAAACATTATTAGTAACACGATGGGTACACATTCACGTAACTTTGGCAAGAAGATGAAGAGCTTGAAACAACAATTTATCAAGTCAACGAACGCTACGGGAATCAAACACACGGTAATAATCTTGGTTTTGCTATAATACTATATATGTACTACTACTGTTCATTTGCTTTTTGGCAATGAAATACTTAGGCCCCGTTTAGATCCAAAATTTTTTGGATTTTGGCTCACTCTAGCATTTCGTTTGTATTTGGTAATTAGTGTCTAATTATGGACTAATTAGGTTCAAAAGTTTCGTCTCGCGATTTCTTACCCAACTGTGTAATTAGTTTTTTTTCGTCTACATTTAGTACTCCATGCATGTGCCACAAGATTCGATATAACAGATACTGCGCAAAATTTTTTGGAATCTAAACAGACCCTTATATGATTCGCGTCCGTTGTGCATATCCTCGTGGAATGAAGCATGCACAGTCGTGGAATGAAGCATGCACAGTGATGTACACGCTCTTGCGTGGAATGAAGCATACACAGGCCCCGTTCGCGGGTCTAAAACTTGGCTAAAATTGACTAGTTGTGTGAGAGAGAAACATTGTTCGGCTGATTAGGTAAACAGTAAAATATGAGGGGAGCAGCCGGTTGGTCTGGAACTTCCAGACCAGCAACGGCACTACAGTCGTATATTCTCCAGATGATCCCGCACTGGTCCCTCTTTGCCTAGGTTCGTTAACTTGTAATGATTTATTTACTGACTTCCCATCGTGTTTTATCTGCTCTTAGCTTGTAGCACAAGAATATGCTCGTTGGAATCTTGATGGAAGTAATTAAAGCATAAAGATGGTTTTTGGGAGAACCGTTGAACATCCTGCGCTTGCTGGTTCCTCGAGCAGATATTAATAAAATAAATCATATTTTTTGGTTGCTTAGCAGTTGGCATGCCAGTTTCGTGTGTACAACCTTCCACCATGCTTCAATATTCGGGACTTGGCAAGACATCTAGTTTAGTTCCTCTCTAAAAGTTTACATCATATCTCATTAAATATTTAGACACATAAATGGAATATTAAATATAGACTATAAAAATAACTAATTACACAAATTGCGACTACTTTGCGAGACGAATCTTTTAAACCTAATTAGTCTATAATTTGATAATAAAGTACTACAATAACACATGTGTTAATGATGGATTAATTAGGCTTAATAAATTCATCTCGCCGTTTACTGACGGATTCTGTAAATTTTTTTATTAGTATCCGAACATCCTATGCGACATTTTCACGTGACATTCAATGTGACCCCTCAAAATTTTACACCCTGAAATTAAACCAGGCCTAAATCTGTGTGCTCCAGTCATTTGTGTAAACTGAAGTTTCGATTTGCTTTTGTCGTGCCTTCGCACAAAGGAGAGGAGGTAGATACTAGCTAAGCACCAAAATGCACAGCGGCAAAAACAAGGCAACAGGATCAGATGAAGGAATCGGACGTACACATTGCTAAATTAAAATAAAACAACAGATTTGCAACTTTATTATTACATAGGCCTTGTTTAGTTACCCTCAAAATTCCAAGTTTTTTCACTCTCTCTCCATCACATCAGGATCAGATGAGTTTAGTTGGAATCGAGATGACGAGCTTACACGATTGGACTATATTTAAAATAAAACAACAGATTTGCAACTCGGGTTATTCAATCTAAACAATATATCATCGTGAAACGAAAGCACTGTGCGTCAGTTTGCACAATGTCAAACGACCCCTGTCCTGAAAAGGTTACAGCCTCCATAGAAACAGAAACGTAAATGGTGGTGGTGGCGTCCAGCCATGGGTTCGCATGTTTAAAGTATTTCAGATATTTCGTTGGTATGTTTCAAGTGTTTTATGCGGATGTTATAAAAGTAGATTGAGATGTTTATGTTGTAATTATTGTACACATATGTTGCAAATGTCTGTTCCTAATGTTTTATCTGTTTTTCGTAAACGTACGTTGCAAGTGTGTTTATCTGGATATTGCATATGTTTCACACATATATTGCAAGTGTTTTATCTTAATGTTGCATATGTTTGCAATTATTTTTTTAAGTATTTTTGCATGTGTTTCATACGCATGTTTCAGTTGTTTCGTATGTATGTTGCAATTGTGTTATGTATGTTGCAATGTGAACAACTTGCAGTAGCTGCCTGCTACGTGCATAGAGTGGTGTTATGTATTTTGCAATGTAAACCGGCCGTAGCTGCCTGCTACAGCTGCTGAGGCGCTGTGTATAGTGGGATGTTATGCATGTTGCATGTGAACCGCTTGCCGTAGCTGCCTGCTGTAGCTGATGAGAGGTCGTGCACAGAGGAGAGCACCCAGCAGATGTGGAGGGGCTCGCAGAGAGAAGCACGCAGCAGGCGTGGAGGGACGCGGGAAGCATGGGGGGAGTGGCACGGACGGGCCCGTTTGTGTGTGCAGCAGGCTCGGTCCGTCCGAGCGCTAGTGCCGTCGTTATTGGAATCGTCTTGGCTGTTATTGTGCTCTAGTCATTTGTGTTCTATTATTCTGTATTTGTGTAAACTGTATATTCCGTATGCTTTCGTCGTGCCGTCGTACAAAGAGGAGAGGAGGTTGACAGGTAGCACAAAAAAATGCAAAGCAGCAAAGCAAGCCAAGCCAACAGGGATCAGAGGTAGGGAAAGACCGGACATTCGGAGGTACACATTGCTAAATGAAAACAAAACAACAGCTCTGCAACTTTATTATTTCACATTATATCACTGAGACGGAAGCACAGAGGAAGGCCTTCAGTGTTGACACAATGTCAAACGAGCCCTGTCCTGAAAAGGTTACAACCTCCACAGAAACAGAAACGCAAACACTAAACTCGAAATCAAACCTAGGTGCGACCGTACACTGAAAATTTAAAATGAAAATGGGAACTTTTGAACCTAAATGGGATCAGAAACTTTTGAAACAGATACGGAAACACTGAAAGTTTGGCTGTCGTCTACCAGTCTTCTAATAGTCCCTGCCAGGCTTGCGGGTGCTGGTGTCCTTGCCGGCGTTGGTGGTGGTGCCGTCGTTGTTCTCGCCGGCCATGCCGAGCGAGTTCATCACGGCGTCCTTCGCTCCCACGGCTGTGTTCACATCCGTGTCCTTGGCCCCCACGGCCGTGCTGACAACCGTGCCCTTGGCCCCCACGGCCGTGCTCATCACCTTCTCCCCTGCCTGAACAGCCGAACGAAGAACACGCTTGAGATCGATCGAAAACACTTCCCTTCTTTGCAGTAGTAACGATGGAGAAGTTAATAATGACTAGTATCACGTGCATCGATCTCACCTGCTGCAGGAGGGCGCCGGTCTTGTCCTTGCCGGCCACCATGGTGTCCTTGGCGTACTGCGCGGCGCCGGCGGCCTTCTGCCTGGTGGCCTCGGCCGTCTGCGCGATGTAGCTCCCGGTCTGCTGCGCGCCGTCGGACGCGCGGTCCCTGGCCTCGCAGGCCTTCTCCCTGGTCGCCTCCGCGGCGCCGCGCGCCTTGTCCGTGGCGCGGCCAGCGGCGTCGGAGTCCGCGTCCTTGGCCCAGTACGCCCTGTCCCTGGTCGCCTCCCTGGCGTCGTGGCCCATCCCCATGGTGCGGTCCGCGGCGTCGCGCGCCTTCTCCCTGGCGTCGGACGCCTTGTGCTTCGCCTCCCGCCCTTTCTCCTGCGCCGCTCCCATCACCTGACCCTGTTAGGATCGATGTGAGTATCTTTCTGTGTAACCCGTAGATCCGAGTAGGCTTCTAGCCCTTTAGTAGATGCACCGCAGCCAGTGTCGCGGTGTAGAAGACGTCCAGCGCCGGCGAGATGAAGTCTAGTGACGTCGGCGGTGTCCTGCAGTGGGAGACGGCGGTGGTTGGGGCACATCCCGTCACTGGCAGCAGCTCTTTAGATCGGTATTAGGGTTTCTGTAGGTGGGTGTGGCGGCTCCAGTGAACCTCTCATTCTGAGCTCGATCCCCACCTTCTCTATTTGTATGTGCTGTGCGACAGGGGCCCACCAACCAGTTAGGGTTGGGCTCCCCCGATCAGGGAGCAGAGCCAAGGGCCCAATAGGCCGTTGGTGGAGATCAACTAACATTCTCCCCCTTGATCTCATTCCATCTTTCACTTTCATATCATTTACTTTTGTTCATTCCATTACAGATTAGCTCATAGAGCATGTCTCATCGTCACGGTCCATTACCGATAGACTTAACAGCTACAACTCACTACTCTGTTCTGAAATAGATACTTATCTTTGGGCCTTCTTTTGTCCAGGAATATTTTAGGCTTTCCCTTAAACCTAAGCTAGCTACATGTTCTCTGAACACCATGTCCTCTGAACATGTTGGGTGGTAAGCCTTTTGTAGGCGGATCCGCGAGCATCCTTTCTGTTCTTATATGCTCAAGATTTATGACTTGATCTCGGACTTTATCTTTCACAACATAATACTCTATGTCAATATGTTTGGCAGCACCACTTGACTTATGTTGTGAGTATACTGTACTGCTTGATTATTATCGCAGTATCTCTTAAGTGGTCTATAGATGTCGTCAACCACCTTCAAACCGGGTATGAACTTCTTTAGTCAGTTCACCTGCCCGTTGCCTCATATCACGCTACAAACTGTCATACATTGTGGACGATGTAGTGACGGTTTGCTTTGAGTTTTTCCATGAAATAGCTCCCTTTTGCGAAATGATAGAAAATCCACGTCTGGATATGCATTCACTCTCGCATAATCAGAATCTGAATATCCCACCATGTGAAGTGAATCAGATCTTCTATATGTCATCATGAGGCCTTTCGTTCGTTGCAAATAATGCAAGACTTTCTTTACTAATTTCAGTGTTCTATTCCAGAATTGCTCTGGAATCTGCCAAGTAAAACCCGGTAACAAATGCCAAGTCAGAGCGCGTACATACTTGAGCATGTTGCAAGCTTCCGACAGCTGAAGCATATGGAACCACTTTCTCTTTATCGATTGAGCTCAAATTGGTTCCTAGGACATTGAAAAACCCCATATCTGTCGCCCTTGACTATAGGAGCAGGTGAGGGACTACATTTGTGCATACTGAATTTCTTTAAGATCTTTTCCATGTATGCCTTTTGTGACAGTCATTATACCCTTTTCTTCTATCTCGGTAAATCTCGATCCCTAGAATGAACGAGGCTTCGACAAGATCTTTCATATCAAGTTTTGAGAACAAAACTTCTTTGTCTCCTATGGTAGACTGACATCACTACTAGCAAGTAAGATATCATTTACATACAGGATAAGAAAGATAAACTTCTCAATCTTATACTTTGTATAGACACAATTGTCCTCTACATTCTCTTTAAAATCCAAAATTCTTTATTGTCTGATCAAACTTCAAGTACCACTATCTTAAAGCTTGTTCTAATCCATAAATGGATTTCTTTAGGCGGCCTCCCATTCGTTCTTTTCTTTCCATGACAAAACCTTCCGGTTGTGCCATGTAAATATTTTTCTCCAAGTCTCCGTTGAGGAATGCCGTGTTTACATCCATCTGATGTAATTCTCAATCGTAATGTGCCACTAATGCTATTATTATTCTGAAAGAATCCTTACATGAGACTGGAGAAAAGGTCTCATTGTAATCAATCCCTTCTCTTTGCACAAAGCCTTTTGCCACAAGTCGGGCTTTATATCTCTCTATATTCCCTTGAGAGTCAAGTTTTGTCTTGTAGACCCATTTACAGCCTACTGTTTTGGCTCCTTTAGGAATTATTTTTAAGTCCCAAACTTTATTGGCATTCAATGATTTTATTTCATCTTCCATGGCCTTAAGCCACTTTGATGACTGATCACTGCTCATGGCTTCTTCAAACGAGGCTTTGATAATCCTCCATTTGAAATTCTTTAGTGTTGTACACTTCATAATCAGCAGGAATAGCTGATTTTCTAACTCTTTGAGACCTTTTAGGGGCCTTCATATTTGGCACATCTTCTGTTTGAGGCTGTTGTTGCTCCCCCTCATGTGTGGCAATCGGTTCTATTGGATCCTGAAGAATAGGTTCCTCATTTTCACTCATTTTTGCCACAGGTGGGATAACAACAGGTGCTGGCACCACAATATTTAGCACTGTCGGTGCAGCTACAGCAGGTAGTGAGAAAAATGGCTCATGAATCATTAGAGTGGGCGCATACACCCGCTTCACTTCAAGGACAATTTCTCGAGCTACCATGCTCCCCCTCATCTTTTCATCTTCTAGGAAAACAGCGTGTCTCATTTCCATAAACTTTGTATGTCTCTCTGGACAGTGGAAAACAAAAACTTTTTGACTTTTCTGTGTAGCCAATAAAATGGCAACTTACTTTTTGGGATATAACTTTCCAATATTTGGGTTAAATACTTTAGCCTCAGCAGGGCTCCCCCACACACACGCAAGTGGTTTAGTGAGAGTACTCTTTCTGTCCACAACTCATACGGTGTTTTGGGCACCGACTTTCTTGATACTCTATTGAGAATATAAATGGTGGTTTTAACGCCTTCATTCACAGGTTCAACTGTAAGGTGGAGTAACTTATCATACTGCCCACCATATCCATCAGGGTACGATTGATTCTTTTAGATACTCTATTCTGCTGAGGTTCGCTCGGTGTAGAATACTGAGCTACTATGCCATTCTTTTAGGGTATGCCAACCGTAGTACTCCCCCACGGTCAGACCTGACTATCTTAATCTTTAATATCTTAAATTTATCCAATACATCTTTTCTTTCTTTGATTGGATAAATATAGTCATAATGGGAGTAATCATCTGTTAATGGATCATAACCATCCACACTCTTTACAGGAAAGCTGACCACAGATGTTAGTGTGAATAATATGTAAAATTCCTGTGCTTCGTTTGTCATCTTTCTTTACATACATTCCTTTTATGCATTCTCTACATTGTTCTAAATCTGAGAGCTCTAATGGAGGAAGAATATCATTCTTAACTTGTCTTTCTATTCTTCCCCTCGAAATATGGCCTAAACGACAGTGCCATAATTTCGATAACGCATCATGAGCTCTCTTATGCCACTATTTCCAGAGTAACACTCTGTGACCAGCTTTATCAGCTAAGTGGCATATCTTTGAAGAGCCAGTGAACTGCTCTTTATTCTATCGAGGTACTTGGTGACCGTGTCACATTCTGGGATTGAGCCCACAATTGTAGGTTCAATCATGTTCTTTATCACAGCCAAACATTTCTTGTTTGCAGTGACCCACTTCCTATGCTCAAAAGCCATAGGATATCTTTTGGGATTCAAAATCCCTTTCTTTAGTTGCCCAAGTGGCATCATTCTCTTTTGTCTCCCTCACCGGTGCCACAAACTCAGTGGAACACGGTGAGGTGACTACCCAGTCCACCTTAAACAAGATGAAAACCATGTCAAATCTTTTCTTAACATAAAATTAACACATCATTTGCATGCCTTGATTCCAGCGTTGGTCAAAATCAAAACATACAATTATTCTTATACACTAATTCTACATCACCATTGGGCAGAAATAGAATTAATGCATAAATCTTTAACTTTGACAACTGTTCTTACACACTAATTCTACATCACCGTTGGGCAGAAGTAGAATCAATGCATAAATCATTAAAATTATCAACTTTTCTTATACACTAATTCTACATCACCGTTGGGCAGAAGCAGAATTAATGCATAAATCATTAATATTACGATATTGTTATTAACAACGTTGGTCAGAAAATAACAACATCGTAATTATATCAAAACTCTTTTTCTCCAATTAAATACCACATTGGTTCAAAATAACTGGAGAATCAACAGTTTCTTTAGCAGCGGAAAAACTTTTCTTTTTCTCCAAGTAAATAGCATGTTGGTTCAATATAACTGGAGAATATATTTTTTTCTTTAGCTGTGGAAAAACTCTCTTTTCCTTTAATTTTACCCACAGGGAAAATTTCTTTTTCTATTTTCTTTAATCCATTAATCAATTTCCAGGGAATAAACATTTTCTGGAAAAACTTTTCTTTTCTCCAGTTAAATATCATGTCGGTTCAAAATCACTGGAGGATGTACTTTTCTTTCGCAACGGAAAACATATGCTCAATTTCTTGAATTTTACCCACAGGTAAAATCACTTTTCATATTTTCTTTGATATATTTTTCATTTTCCAGAAATTAGCAATTACTGGAAAAGAAAAAACTGATCTTGATTCTTTCCCTTTTTTTCGGCCCAACCGGTAAAACCAGCTCGGCCCGCTTCTCTCCGCGCGCGCAGGCCGCACCCAGGCCGCAACCTGGGCCTGGGCCGGCAAACTGCCGCGGCGCGCTCCCCCCGCCTGGGCCGCTCGTGGGCCCGGCCGTCCGATTGTTTCGGCCGAATAAAAATGACTCCGGCCGCGGGCCCCGAAAACCCTAGTCTCATTCGGCACTTGCCCTTCTCTCTCTTCGCTCGCCGGTCTCTCTTTCTTTTGCTTTTACCCGGTTAGGGTTAGGGATACACAGGAATACACAGAGGTAACCTGCTCTGATACCATTTTTAGGATCGATGTGAGTATCTTTCTGTGTAACTCGTAGATCCGAATAGGCTCCTAGCCCTTCAGTAGATGCACCGCAGCCAGTGTCGCGGTGTAGAAGACGTCCAGCACCGGCGAGATGAAGTCTAGTGACGTCGGCGGTGTCCTGTAGTGGGAGACGGCGGTGGTTGGG